GCAAAGCCGCCAGGGCCCGGGGGACCCCGGGGCCAGCTGGGGTATCCCCAGGGTGCATGCGGCATTTCAAAGCGGCAGGGCCCCATGGAGCACAGGGCCAGCTGAGGTATTTCCAGGCTGCATGCAGCGTTTCAGTGCGGCAGGGCCCTGTGGAGCTTGGGACCAGCTGGGGTATCGCCAGGGTGCATGTGGCGTTTCAAAGCAGGGTTCCACGGGGTGCTGCCGCTTTGAAATGCTGCAAGGAGCCTGGCACCGGGCTCACCGCGGCATTTCAAAGAGGAGGCTAGTGCTGCACAGCGGGGCCGTCCCCAGCTGACCCCGGGCTCCACGCAGCACTTTCGCCTTTGAAGCATAGCAGCAGGCTGTTACACCCCAACGGCGGAGGCATCCTAACAAGTAATCGAATAGTTGATACAAAATGCAAAATACAATTAGTGGCTATTTAACATCCCTACCAGCAGCCCCACGATGCCCTGACCCAACTCCAGGAGAGCGGGTGGAGTAACATCCAAGCCCAGGAACCCCAGAGCAACATTCCGGGGAATAAGTGTCTTTTGTGCACGACACGGTGGCAGCGTGGGAGACATGGTTAACAACCGTTATAAGGAAGTCATGGGACTGGGGAACAGTAGGGATGTTTTCCAGGATGTGTGTCCCAACGGGGCATTTCTGTTTACCCTTGGAGGTAGTCCAAGCGAGAACGACAGTCGTAGCTATTGCAGTATTGAAAACTATGTGTTCTGGGCGGATTCCAAGAGGAGAATAGACTGGATGTGAAAGGGGGCAGAGGGTGGGGGTGCAGGGAGGTTAGCGCTGTGGCTGGGGGTGCAGGCTCTGGGATGCGGCTGGGGTGAGGGGCTTAGGGCTGGGACAGAGGGAGGGGGGTCCAGCTGGGGGTGCAGGCTGTAGCGGGTGCTGATGAGGGACTCAGGGTTGGAGCAGAAGACTGGGGTGCAGGCTATAGAGTGGGGCGGGGCTGAGGGATTTAGGCAAAGAGGGTGCTATGGGGCTACTGGGGGGAGAGAGTGCGCACAAGAGAATACCCCCCTCCCCAGCACACCCAGGCTGGGGGGGGAAGGCACCTCACCTCGCCATGGCAGCTCTGGGGCTGAGGCAGCATGATACCGCCCCCCACCCCCCCGCAGGTTTGGGCCAGGGCCAGACTGCCCCGGCCGCAGCTGGGTTTGGGCCAGGAGAGAGGCACCCTCCCCTTGTGTGGCAGGCCCCCAAGCACGCTCCTGGAGCGCCTGTCTGGTGCTAAACAGGTGGCCACGCAGCGCCCCGGAAACCTCTCTCGGGCTCGCAGTCTGTAGCGGGGGTCACAAAACTCCGCACTGGCACAGAGCCGCAAGGTGGAGTCTCCACCTTTTTAACAATTCCCACAGGCCTGGCTGGCGGGAGGAGGGACTAGGTTCATCCATGCACTAAGGTCACCCGGAGGCTGGTAAGCTCTGGAACAGATGCAAAAAGCCCTGCGTAATCTTAAACACCCGTGTGCCGAGTCAGTTCACACTGGTCTCTGCGAATGGCTCCGATGCAGAACTGCTTCCCTGCAATTTCTCCAGTCTGTCGAAGCACACGCGCGAGTCCCGTGCACTAGATAAACCCGCATCCTCTTCAAAGGTTCATAAAACGTCGCAGCACAAAGCGCTCCAATGCCAACGTGGACCTTCCAAAAGCTCGTCCCCTGAGCTCTCCATGGAGCCGCTGGCTTTCGAAACGTACGTCCCCCCCACCCCGAACTGCACTAAACGCTATTTAGTGGCTAATTAACGTTCTGTGCTGGAAACCTCCTGTAATTGCACTTCTTTCACCTTTCTCGCCTTTGTCCTCCAGGGAGCCCAGGCTGTCGGATGGCATTTGTTCTGCTTATTCCTGGCTT